CCAGGACTGTGGATGCCACTGCTTCAGTGCCACTGCCCCGCTTGATGCCACTGCTAATCATAGGCAGCCCACTTCCAGATGCTTCCAGATTAACTTCAGCATGCGTGTTTACATAACACAGAGATGCATGCAGAGCTGCCTCTCCTGCCAGGCCGGCAGCGTTCCCAGCCCCTGCCTCGCCTCCCCTCTCTTCTGGGCTCCCAGCCCCAGAAGTGCACTGGCGGCAACACATTCCTCCCCCACTGTTGAGCAGGAGCTCTGGGCCTGTGCAGTGGCCTCACACACAATGACAGCTGCTGTTGGGCCCAGCTCCTGCTGACCACAGCGGCCTCGTGACCCTTGAAGCGCACGGTCAGGCGAACACAAAACAAAAAGCCTTTCTCCCTGCCACCAGGGCAGGGCCGCTCAGAACCGCACAAGGACACTGTAGAACATTTTTCTGTGTCTCTGAAATGCATGTTGAATGACCCGAGTCATTGAGAAAAGCCAATAAGCCACCCATGGTCAATGATTATCTGTCATCAAGCCCTGCCATCATCTCTTCACTGGAAAGCTTTGGTTGAAAGCCAGCCAGTGGCAGTAAAAACAATCACGGTCGGTGCTTCGGGCCCTCACTTTGCACGCGTGACACCTCTCACAGCAGCCCTGCAGAGGAACATCCTAGAAGGATTTCCATTTTATAAGTAGGGGAACTGAGCCCCAAGTCCCTTCGTGTATCCTCTGCCATCCGGGTTGGACAGGTGCTTAAAACCAGTGCATTGGGGCAGTCTGAACCATGAGAGGGTGTAGAGATGGAGAGGCTGGCTGGGAAATCACTGACAGATCCCACATTTCCCACAGTTCATTCATTCATTCATACATTCCTTCCTTCCTTCATTCATTCATTCCACAGATGTCATACAAGTATCGACTGGGGTCAGGCACCAGCTGGGTGCTTGGGGCACAGCAGGGAACCTGATCTCTGCCCTCTTCTGAGCTCAAGTCTGGTGGGAAGACTGTTGCTTTAAAAAAGAAAAAGGTGTTACACACGTGACTATCGTCACTGTAACAGAGAAATGTACTTGGAAGAAAAAGTAGAAGAAAGAAATAGGACTTTTATGAGCAAAAAAAAACTGACATTACTTTTTCCAATATTTTCTATGAGAAAATTCAAACGTGTAGCAAAGTTGAAAGAATTTTACAGCAACTTGTACTCGTACACCTACTACCTAGATTAATATTTTACTATACCTATATATCCATATATCTACCCATCTGTCCATCAGTCTAATGTAAGCCTTTGGACATGATATTTTTTTATTTTTATTTATTTGTTTTTTGAGACAAGAGTTTCACTCTTGTTGCCCAGGCTGGAGTGCAATGGTGTGATCTTGGCTCACTGCAACCTTCACCTCCTGGTTTCAAGTGATTCTTCTGCCTCAGCCTCCCAAGTGGCTGGGATTACAGGCATGCGCCACCACGCGTGGCTAATTTTTGTATTTTTAGTAGAGACAGAGTTTCACCATGTTGGTCAGGCTGGTCTCGAACTCCTAACCTCAGGTGATCTGCCCGTGTCAGCCTCCCAAAGTGCTGGATTACAGGCGTGAGCCACCGCACCCGACCTATATTTTAAATTTTTTTGGAGATGGGATCTCACTCCGTTGCGCAGGCTGGAGTGCAGTGATACAATCATAGCTCACTGCAACCTTGAACTCCTGGGCTTGAGCAGTCCTCCCACCTCAGCCTCCTGAGTAGCTGGGACTACAGGTACATGCCCACATCTGGCTCATTATACATTTTGGGAGAGGAGGATGTAAAGCCATCAGCTGGATCTGAGAAGCAGCCATACCTCCAAATGGGTTTTGCCAGTCCCCGTGTGTTCCATCCATGGCACCTGCCTGCCTCCTCTGTCCTCCCATGAGGGTTGGAATTGGCACCCCCTGGTGGCACTGTAGTCATTGGCTGGGGTGGGGGGGGTGGAGGATCTTGGCTCCGGGGTTATTATGTAATTCAAGAATGCATGGTCTTTCCAGAGAGGCAGTGGTAGCAGTGCTGGAAGGAAAACACCTTCCAGGCTAACAAGTGACATGACCTCCAATGTGGCCTCTGATGTGGCCACCCTAGGGAAGGCTTCAGCATGGCCCCTTGCTGGGAGATTTGCCTTTGCAGATATTGGAAAGAGGCTCAGTTGCTGAGAGGAGACTGCTCTCAGCAACTGTGTGAGCCCAGTGTGAGGACAGCATGCCCAGAGCTTGCAGCAGGGGAAGGTGGGAGCCCTGGCCGTAGCAGGGCCTCACGGGGGAGCTCAGAGGAAGTGGCAGGGTTGCAGGTCAAGGATGGGTCTCATTCAGTGGAGGTTCTGGTGGACCCTGTGGCTTCCATGATAATGTCATTTGCTGGGTCACAGCGCCTGACCCTAGTAATGATATTATTGAAGTCCAGGTACTAAGTGCTCACCACTCGCCAGGCACTGCTACATGTGTTCGGTGCCTTATTTTTAATTTCTTAAAGAAGCGTATGAAATAAGTACTATTATTGCCCCATTTGACATGTGAGGAAACTGAGGCACATAGCGGCGAGGAGACCTGCTCAGCTGAGGAGTGGTCATGCAGGATTCACACCCCATCTGTCTGAAACCCTAGCCTACCTTCTTTCCATTGGGTTGTGGAGTGTTTCCTTAAATGTTTAATGCTGTTTCTCTCACGCGCCTCTTTTCATAGCTGCAATTAGAATGTTCTAGATGGCTGGCCAGGTGTGCAGGGTCTCCTTTGGTGGAATTCGGCTGAAGGAAGTTCCTCCCCTAGCCCTCTTGCCTCATGCAGTCGACTGGTGCACACACTGAGGCCCCTGTCTGGCCTCCTGGGCATTGGCATTTCACTCCCATGGGGCTGGCACTCGCCTCTAGCTTGCTCTGGGGTCTTTTTCACCTGTGTTCTGTGGCAGGCTTAGCAAGCTCACTTTTCTGGACTGGAACAAGGACAATGAGATGTCTCAGAAGCCCAGCAGTCTGTCTTCAGGCTCGAAAGTGAAGTCTACATCGAGCCCGCTCAGTAAAGAACCTGCATACTTCCTTCATGGAAGGAGCAAGATGTCCTGTGACAGCCTGCCATGGGGGTGACAAAAGAGGGAGAGGAGGAGTGGCAGGCAGCAGGCTGCTCACATTTTAGCAGATCCCAGCCCTTCCAGGAACTGCCAGGCAGTTTCTAAGTCTACATTTTATCAACTCCAAGGTGTTACTTATACGACACTCCGATATATTATGACCCATGAAGAAAGGAAAATGCCTCCATTTAAGAACATTCTACTGGGTGTGATGGTGTGTGCCTGAAATCCCAGCATTTGGGGAGGCTGAGGCGGGAGGCTCGCTCAAGTCCAGGTGTTGAAGCCTGCATCTCGCCACTGTACTCCAGCTTGAGTGCCAGAACAAGACCCTGTCTTTATTTTATTTATTTACCTTTCTTCACTGTTACTTGCCAAAGGACCCTGTCTTTAAAAGCACACATAGGTGCATGCAGATGGCGTCACCTGGAGCAAGCTTAAGCTTCACACTACTATTGAAGACAATGGCTGAACAAATTAAGAGGGCAGAAGTCCAAGAGTGTATTTCACACCGCCAGCCGAAAACACTTCAAGGCTAAGAACAAAGCCAAACCAGTTACCTCTAATCTTAAGAAGATAAACGCCACGAATGATGAAAAAGTCAGCAGAGCAGACGAAGCGTTTGTATTCAAAAACCGCAGTCACTTCTGCACTAATCTAATAAATGTACAAGAGAGATTTGCACACTCTCAGAAGGCCTTTCTCCTGAATCTCTGCAGAAAGAACTGATTCCTCAGCAGCATCATGAAAATAAACTAGTTAATATTGATGAAGCTACAAAACTAATGGCTCAGTTCTAATATAGTGGTGATGCATCCAATTTCCTCAAAAGACCCATAAATTAAATGTTTTATACAATTAAAAAAAACACATTGTACAGCTCTGGACAAATTTTTTTTTTAAATTCAATCACAGACACAAGAGACAAATTTTTATTACATCCTTATTCTATGAGCTTTTTTCTATTTTAAGAGTTAAGCACTTTAAAAAAAAACTTTTATTAAAAACAAAGACAGTTTAGGTCTACACAGGGTCCTGATCATCAAGCTCTGTGATGATCATCAAGATTTGAGACAGAGTCTCCCTATGTCACCAGGCTGCAGGGCAATGGCGTGATCTCTTGCTCACTGCAGTCTCCACTTCCTGGGTTCAAGCAGTTCTCCTACCTCAGCCTTCTGAGTAGCTGGGACTACAGGTGCGCACTACCACATCCAGCTAATTTCTGTATATTTAGTAGAGACAGGATTTCACCATATTGACCAAGCTGGTCTTGAACTCCTGACTTCAAGTGATCTGCCCGCCTCAGTCTCCCAAAGTGCTAGGATTACAGGCATGAGCCACAGCTCCAGGCCAAAAAATTTTTTTTCATTAGCTGGGTATGGTGGTGCGTGCCTGTAGTCCCAGCTACTCCAGAGGCTGAGGCGGGAGGATCACTTGAACCTAGGAAGTTGAGGCTGTGGTGAGCTATCATACCACTGCACTCCAGCCTGAGTGACAGATCGAGATCCTGTCTCAAGAAAACCCCCCCAAAAATGCCATTCTGATTCCAGAGATGAACCAAATGTGCGTCTTAACCTTGGATTATTTATTTCAAGCCATCCTCATCACACCTCTGTGATTGGTGCTGTGGCCTCATTTGCCAGGTGGGAAACAGGAAGCTCAGAGAACTGAGCTGGGGGCTGCATGCAAGCCCATGCTGCCTCAGTAACATCCAGAACAACTCAGCTCTCCCTGGAACACACTACGTGACCCACCCCCCATGTCCCCATGGCCCTGATAAATCACTTTTGCTGGGAATCTTTTTTTCTTTTGAGTGCAGTGCCTGGGTGACAGGTGGCACGATCTCGGCTCGCTGCAACCTCTGCCTTCCAGGTTCAAGTGATTAAAGGAAATCTCAATCTCTCTTCTCATTTTGTCCCCAGATTGCCTTGGGTCCCCAGTGTTTACTCCCATTAAGGCAGACATAAGCGGCAACATCACGGTACGTACCTGGCCGGGCAGCCACAGGACTTGCATCAGGAATCTAAGCCCACCTGGGTTCCCAGCACCATGGTCTCAGCTGCAAGCTTCCCAGCCCGAGGAAGGGGAGGGAAACATGGAAGATGGGCCCCAAGCTTGTCCGATTTGGGCTCGATGTTCTTGGCCCTCCTCCACGGTCTAGCCTGACTGGGACCAAAGTCTAATTAAAGTGTTGACCCTGAGAAAGAACCTGCTGGTTTTTCATCTATCCCCACCAAAGAAGTAAGCCCCTAAGTCCACAGTCAGCATGCATCTGGCCCTCCCCTTCTCCAATCCTGGTAGTTCCTGATGTCATCTCCCCAGCCATAGACTCCCTCCCTGCCTGTGAGAATCCACGTGGGGCCCAGCCAAGGGCTTGGGACATGCTGCATGGTCTCATTTCTCCATCCCAGCCCTTTGAGGCTGGTCCTGTGTTATCCCCTTTTTACAGATGAGGAAGCTGAGACTCAGAGGGGTTGAAGGACTCACTTAAGGTCACAAGCAAGTAAGTGGCAGAGCTGGGATTCAGACCCAGGCCTAGCCGGCTGCATCTCAGAGGCCTTCGTTCCTGGACGTCTGAATCCTTGGAACCTATTTCCACTTGTCCACCAAAGCAGAACTTCAGATGCTTGGTGTCTGAGGCAGTGTCAGTAGCAGCTGGAGAACATGGATTCTGTACCAACTGTGTGACCTTGGGCAAGTCTGTGCCCCTCTGTGAGCCTCAGTGTTTCTGCCTGTAAAATGGGATAATGACAGCAACATCAGGGTTGCCACTGGGATCATATAAGGCAGTGCCTGTAAAGCACTTGGCAAATCCTGGTTCACGCGAACAGTCGTAGTTATAAGTGTTGTCCCTGCTGCTCCTGGAGCACAGGAAGGAGCGGGAGATGCCGGTGGGGTGCTCTTCACCCAGCATGCGGGCCGGATGTCTGTGGGGGCAACTTACCCAAGGGGAAATCCTGTGTGCTCCATTTCAGAAAATCAAAGCGGTGTATGACACGAATCCAGCCAAGTTCCGGACCCTGCAGAACATCCTGGAGGTGGAGAAAGAAATGTATGGAGCAGAGTGGCCCAAAGTAGGGGCCACACTGGCGCTGATGTGGCTGAAAAGG